TTGACAATTAGAAATTTCTGACTTATTTTCACGGTGCCGAATTCAAGAAGTATTTCCGCCTCCCCCATCGGCGATAGGATATTTCCTCCAATGCCTCGAATCAAAATCCCAATCTCTCTAAATTCTTGAACTGAAGTGATCCTCTGCGCAAAATCAAGGAAGACAACATTTACAGAAGAGCCGGTATCGACGATTAGTCTGTCACTTCAACCGTTTGTCTTGACAAGTAGATAGATTAATTGGTTTACCGCCAATGTGCAGCCTGAAAGGCCAGGCTGGCCCCCTATGCCTGGCCATTCCCGTTTCCCGAGTCAAAATGCCGCTCACCGTTGCCGCTTTGTTCGTCCCTTCTCTGTCGCTGCTGGTCCTCGTACTGCCTGTGACATTGTCGCGTGATGTGGCCGAGGCGATGGCAGTAGTAGCACCGGGGGCGCCCATCGCCGCTGCGGGAACTTCTAGGGGGCCACTGGGCAGGCGGCTGGCAAACCTCGTCTTCACAGCTTTCAACCCGTTGGCAAGTGACTTAATCGACTCGGCGAGGGCCTTCGATTTCAGATTGCCCGCAGCGTCGCGTAGGTGATGTTGGGCGTCCGAAAGGCATGTCGGCACGGCGTCCTGGTGCTCGCGAACAGGAGCGCTCACCAGAGTGGGCTGTGTCGCGATTGATTCCCCAGGAATGGCCGCTGACCACGGCTGCGTAACGTTGGCTGGGAGGTAGCTGTTCAGAGGACTCAAACGGGCACGGGCCATCAATGCGGCATGGTTTATCCGTTGCAGAATTTGTAAAAATTCTCCTGAACTTGTCGGGTTGACGAGGACCATTTTCTCTAGAGCATCGGCGCGGAGTCCACGCAAAAGATGACGTACGCAGTCTTCCTCTTTCATAGCTGTGTCAACGCGGGCGCACAGCTGCAGTACGTCGTAATAATACTGCTCCGGGCTCTCAGACGGCAGTTGAACTTGATTCTCTAGTCTCAGGCGGGTTATCTCTGCTGCGTGGCGGCCAGTGAAGCTAGACTTAGGCAACGTGGCCCACTCTTCCCACGTATTAGGAGCGCCGGTCATGACTTTCGTTGTATACCATTTTTTTGCGTCGCCCTCGAAAGCCAAATAAAGAAATTTCACCTTTGTATCGTCGTCCCATGAGTTGAGTGAAGACACATGTTCGTAGCAAGTCACCCACTCCGATACGGATTCCTCAGGTGTACCTTTGAAGATCGGGGGCCCGATGAAGGGTCTCGAGGTTGCACCAGTTGGAAGGTTGGCCATTCTCGCAACGTCGTCAGCGCCGTTCTGGCTCCTCAGAGTGGGCATCACCGTACGGGGGGTTTTCGCTACCGCGCAGCCTCCACCACTTTGTAGCGTAGTGTTCTGGTCGCTACTTGGTCGCCGCCGGAGAGATGACATGTACACACAGCAGATCCATAGAGTTGCTCCTAAATCGATTTGTTTGGCTTGGTGTTCATAATAGACGTCGTACACACTTGTACGCTGCATCACTCTAACAACTCGGAGCAGCACCCGCTGCAACCTGCTCTCGTGGCGTCTCCGGTGCGACTCTCCCTCGGCTCCCCTCGAAGCGTCCCGAAGCGACCCCCGAGACAAACAAAGAAGGACCATTCAGAAGTATCCGTTGACCACACCCAATCAGGTGTCACGAATTCAAACAGGTACACCCAATAGCGGGCGGTCTCGACCGAGTTTAACCTCGATGACCGCCGTACGCCGAAATACAAAATGACCTAAACTAAAGTAAAAACATACAACAAGCTACCGCGACCTCCGTTAGGCTTCCACCGTTCCGCCGCATACCTTCAGGCGCCGCGGATTCAAGGCCGTCTGCGCGCTCGTACAACAAAGCCGGTGAGCCACTCAAGGACACCACCGCAAATCCTGCTCCTGGGCAGACCCGCGACATTGGAACGAGCCAAAAGTTGAAAGAAAATAGCTACATCTATATCTACGCGACAATATTCACTGCATATTCGACAGCTTGCAGAGTTCTCAAGCAGTGCAGTGAGATTCTGAATCTTAAATGTTCAGTCACCTGTAAAGTAATTATTGAAGATGCTCAATTACCAAGAAAGCTCTATCAGAAAGGATTGCCGTCATAAGGACTGAGTAGTGTACCTAATGCATGCTAATTTCAGTGTATTGATTTATTTCATTGCTGCATCTCATTCATTGTCTTGCTAGGTTTCTGGCGACAGGCGAAACCCAAAGGGACATGGCCGTCAACTTCCTAGCGGGGAGATCAACCGTTTCCTCCATAGTGTCGGAGGTCAGTGAGGCCCTTTGACTTGTACTTCAGCCACTGTACCTCCAGCACCCTTCAACAACAGATGAGTGGATCAAGGTATGACAGGCTAGTTTTTCCTGTATTTTTGCAGCAACAATATTGATACATTGCTGTCATGAAACTTGACATATAAAAATTTCTAAAGTTAATCAGTAAATATGCAATCTATCACAAGCTGTGATAATGCCATAGAAGATAGGCAGCAGAGGTAGCGCTCATTAATACATCGAAAACGAGGAACACTTTGGCAATACAGCGTCATGACTGCGACACTGAAATGCAACTATGCGTGAGATTTTTAAGCTCAGCATGCTCTTTTACAGTGTGTGTCTTCCATCATGGCTGTGCCGACAGAATTTTCACATGGCACTTATGCGTTGTAGGTATTCCAAGGAAGTGCGAGATAAATTGGCGCACTACTTCGTCACAGACGGTCAGATGCCTTGGCAGGACAAAGTGGTTAACAGCCCTTGAGGCGTACAAGGTGAAGGTGGGTTGTAAATGCATTTTATTGCTTACGGAACGTATGTACATAGCATCTTCTTAAGCTAAACAAACAAGAGAAAAATCACCCGTGACACAACAGATATATTACAGGGAAAACTTTTATGTACAAATTTAACCATAAAATTACAAAAATAAATAATTCATGTTAAAATATTCGAGTTATTGCACGGTTATCACTACAATTATCCCAGAAATAGGTACCCGTAAAGGGCTCATGACACCCCATTTTCAACCATAACGTGAGTTGTATGGGCTGATCCTTGTATGTTCACATACAAGCTGGCAAAATTCTAGTGATTTGGTCAAGCTGTTAACTTTAATCGCATATTTTTATAAACGAGCTAGTCGCCTGACAGCTGGGCAATACTGAAGCACTCACTATCTAGCAAATCACGAACCGCTTGCTCGGCAAGCTGCTGCAAAGTGTGCATTCTGACAGACGGTCATGTTCCGTCATCAACTGCGCTTGCAATCAAACTTTTTCCCATTGTTGAACTCTCCACTAAAGCTAAATGACTTCCAGGAGTCAAAACATGGCTACTGCGTCAGCAATGTAGTGCTGGTACTTGCAGCAAATAATTTCGGACGTCAAAATGGGTCCTGTGAATGTGCAATGCGTATACCATTTGCCATTGCTCCTTCGGCTTGTGACGTCTCGCATGCCATGACAAAATGGCGGTCACTTGTGGTAGGTTGAGTTTTAGAAGGCGAGCACTTTTACGGCATATTTTTGACTAAAATAATCTCTGAAGCCCCCTTTTCAGACGTGTACTAGCACATTTTACTCTCTAGCTTTGTTTTTTGCTGACAACTATCAATTGTTGAGTGACCAGTAATGACCCCTTTAAGTTTGGACTAGAAAAGTGAACACAAGATAAAAAAAGGTGGGTGTCATTGACATAATATAAACATTTCAATTTGCTTCACATCTCTGACGCAATTTCGCCTCTGCTTCATACAGCATAAGTTATACTGCATGCATTACATCTTGTGCAATGTGCACTAGTAGCTCTCTGAGGCGTGCATCGGTACGTAGAGCAAAGAAACCAATGTTATCTTTTTTGATGACACCTCTGTTCGCTCTGATGTGTTCAAGGTGCTCTACGCACAGTTGCGCTACAGCTTCAAGGCTTGTTCCCTCTGCTGCATTGCTGTAAAGCAAGTGTGATCTGCGATTCATGCTTATGAATGTTTTAAGGTTGCATTGTTACTTCATAAAGCGCCATTTAGCAAAAAAAACAGTGTGAGAACGACAAGGTAGAAACAGAAGAAACAAGAAAGAGCATAGACTTTCAACAGATGTTTGTGATTTTCGGCACTAAGAAAGAAAAAAAATATAGAGCAACTGAAGCAAATTAAATAGCACACTTAAAAGATATATGTGTCAATAGGGCGTCTACCTCTCTGTAAGAAATAAATGAGCTTTTGATCTTTGAAACGGACACTCGTGTTTTGGGACAGGATGCTGATGTTCTGATTTTAACGTCTAAATATTACGGTATTTATATGGGTTCTGTCTGCCTTAGTATAAATGTGTCCACTATAAAAACATCAGTTTTAAAGTCAGTGCTCTGTCCTGTTTCTTCTGTTTCTATCTTGTCGTTCTCACACTCTTTTTTGTTACTATGTCTGTGTACCAACTTGACCTAGCATTAACCTTATGAAGTTTTGTATTTTGTAGCATGCCCAGGATTGTTAGAAAAAAATCTGCAAGTTTATCCTCTAACTTTTGCGATATATCTCACCTAGCACCCTCACAGGTCCGTTGTCGTCTTGACGAGCGTGGCCTGCAGTGAATTATACATATTGCTTAAGTGTACAGAAAAAGATCCTTTTCGAAAAGTTGTGATTGTGATCTCTTGCCAGGAGTACCTAAAATAATTTTTTCGTTTACACACCATTTTGATGGTAGTTGCTCTCTTGAGGTGGTTGCTGAAGCATCACTGCAGGAGGCAGTATTATTATACAAATTATAAAGTGTTACAATTGCATGCAGCAGAATCTGGTGTGAAAACATTAGGCACATTCTCCAAATGTGCTAGAACATGAAGTAGGTTACAAAACATGTTTTTAAGATTTAATAGATTGGCTATTTATGCGTGTCCTTCATTTGTCAATACTTAGGTGCATTCATAAAAGTTTTACTCATTGCTGCAGGTGTTGACACCAGTCTCCTCAGCCGTATCAGGGGTACGTACGTTCCGGTTCCGCTGCATGGCTTGGCCGAGGCGGTGATCTGCAGTGATGAAAACTTCTCTCTATGTATTTGATGATGCCACTAGTACATGAACAGTTTTAGGCATTCTTTGGGAGTTAAAATGCCATTATGATTTCACTCAACACGAGGTTTACTTATCATAAGAAGTCACTTGCGTTACCTCTTGATTGAGCGCTGCTGTATGGAAGGTGTGCATATAGACGTTTAACTGCCTATTATGTTAATAAAATGCTATGTAAGCTGCGCATCTAAATGAGAACAAGAGATATTGTCACGGAGATGAAGTAAAAGAAGTGGAAGAACTCAAGCAGCTGATAGGCACGCGAGGGTGTTAATCAGCCACTGTGAATCTTGCCTGTGGGTTTTCCCCTATAAACACATTTTGTACAAAAGTCTCTAACCCTGTAACAATATCTCACTGGCTATGTGAATGAAATTCATACAGTCAATCCTAAATGGCTGTGCAAACGATGTGTCTGATTAAACTGTGCCTGCTGTCATTGTGTTTCTTGAACACATGCTGAACGACTTTTGCAGCACCATTTTATTGCTACGAATGAGTGAATGCTTCACATTATTCAGCTCACTTGTATTGCAATCTGCGCTGGGCACTTGTTCATAACGAATTGACTTGAATGTGCTGCCAGTGTGTGTAGATAATACATTAGTTTGCTTAATTGCGGCCTGTCGCTGATGAATACTTTGCTTTTTCAGAATATTTAACGTTGTACAACTACCACATTCACACAGAAACAATGCCTGTGCCCTCATGTATTCCTGTGTGCTTCTGTTCAGTGTTGAGTGCTGAATGTATTTTAAAAAATGCAGTGGTTTGGGCAAGCTGACGACCTGAACACCGCCATTCAAGCACACTTGTATTTTTCATAATTTTTCAAAGTACAATCAGCTAGTAATAAAAAATAGTGTTTCTAGGTTCAAGTCCATGCATGTACAGCTTCAAGTGCATGCACATGATACCGAACATTTTTGTTCATGCTCACCTCTCGTTAGCCTCTTCTGCTGTGATGTGGCTGCTGCAAGAGAACATGCAATATGTGATTCTGTCAGTGCTATTGTGTGCATCTTTAGAGTATTTTCACTGTTTTGCTACAATATAAGTACTTATGCTGCATTCTTGTAATGAATATGTGCAATGCTTGCCTATGAACAGCCTCATCACACATGCAATAAGCGATCTCTTTAGATTTTGAGATTTTCTTTTAAGCCTTCCTTTTTTAGGTAACTGAGAGCCGAGAATGACACAGAAGTACACTCAATTCCCTAATTGTTACTGTTCTGTCTTCAATATTATGTTTTGTGAAGCTGTCCACGTGCCACTTGTATGATATGCTATATTTTTTGCGTTGTGCTGGTGCATTGTGCTATGCTAACCAAAACATTTCATTTTCTGTTCAATGGAGGGTAAGCCTCATTCATTACCTTTGGTCAATGGCACTCATGTTGCACAGTACCCTGAAACAATGATGCACAGAGTTATTCTTCGTAGCTGTAGCCACAATTATTCAACATCAAAACAGCCCATTGCCACCATGTTCATGATCACATGCATGCCCACTGTGAATTACCTTTTGGGACTTCTATGTTTATGTGCAGTGTACTTATGTGTATTGATAGGTGTGTATTTATGTGTAGGTATAACAGTCATGTGAAATAAATCAACTTTTTTTGTTTAGTACTCAATAGTTAGCTAATATTGAACTTACGCCACAGCCTCAGACTCTCCTTCTAATAATTCAAGCATGGCCTCAAAATGGGACCATTTTATTGTTGGAATGTTGGCTGCTCCAGCTCCACCTCTTTGTTTTTCACGTATGTCTTCTTGTTTCCTTTTGAAGATATCACGCAGGTTCCTAAATCGTTTCCCAACAAGGACACCTGAAAACAAAACCTTTGCTGTAATAATCTCTTGTGCATACTGTATTGCTGATAAATTTTCTACTTTATTTCAGCGCAATTGTGAGCGGTATTTATTTTCTTTGTCCAGATCATTTCGGTTGCAGCACCCTAGAAATCTGAATATTGAGCATCAAAATGAATCGCATGCCATCTAAACTTAAGTATTGGTAGGGGGCTTAAACATTGCGAAACCATGACATGAGTGAGGGAACCTGCAGTCAATACAGTCAATACACCTATTGCAAACTAACCATGTCACTAATAAAGGCTGCAGCGTGAGCATGAATGTGCTAGAAGAAACAGACGAAAGTCGAGGCACGGAAAGCAAAGAGGACAACACGAGCGCTGAGTGTTGTCCTCTTTGCTTTCCGTGCCTCGACTTTCGTCTGTTTCTTCTAGCACATTCGTGCTCACGCTGCAACCCTTATTACCATGAATTCAAACCAACTAGCCCAAATTGCCATTCTTCCTTAACCATGTCACCTTGCAGTACAAATACCAATATTTTCATTCATCATTCATTGGTAACGCCAGCCATGCAGTACACAACTGTTCTTGCTTATATAGCTACTCAAACAAAAAATCTCGGTACTTACTCGACATGCCGAACATGCTTCCGATCTCTGCCCAAGCCCGGTCCTTTTTTGTCCGATCTTTAAAAGAAGGGTGCCGCTTGTCATACAGATATGGGTACATTTTAATCGCGTCGATGACGAGCTCGGCCGAGTACTCAAAGCTGGCCGTGGTGGCATTCGCCTGATGCGAGGAAAAATCCTTGGAGGAACGCAAGTGTCGTTCGTAACTCGCGGCAGTAGGCAAGCGCAACGAGAAAAAAAATTGCGGCATATTCACGGGGTGAATGATGATGAATGGGCGAAGCTCCGGAGGGATTCATCGGTAAACTGTGAATCTTCCGTGTAATTCGCCCAGTCGATCATCATGTAAAGACGTGAGAAACGCTGTGTGTGTATATACACAAATCAACTTTTATTTGTTCTTAGACGATGGATGGCTTGCGATGTCCCTTGCCTCGCGCGCTCGCACATCGGGATTCTGTCTGCGAGTGCGCGCTGCTGCCGCCTTGCGCTCTCTCCGCTGTGCAGCCTTATCCATCCGGCGACTCCGAGCGCGCGCCAACAGCGAACGGATTTTATTACAACGCTCCCCCTAGCGTACGTCGCCGCACTAAATCGAACGATTGCCTTCAACCAATGACACGCGCCATGTGTGACATCATTCCTATTTTATAAGATCTCGCGTCTTTCATCAACTACAAGTACCGCTTTCTAGTTTATAACATCTTGCATCTTTTCATCATCAGCTACAAGTACCACCATCTAGTAAACACTACAAGAACTAAACGAGAGGTGGCTACATACAGGAGACGGTACCGCCATCAAGTGAACACTGCAAGAACTAAACTAGAGGTGGCTACATAGAGGGGACGGTACCGCCATCTAGTGAACACTGCAAGAACTAAACTAGAGATGGCTACATATAGGCTACAGGGGACGCACAGCCCATGCCCTAAGGAGCTTCGCCCCTAAAAAAAAGAACATACGAGGAGGCCGTAGGTAAACAAAGGCTGACGTCACTTCTGGTCTTCGCTGATTGGTTAAACTGTTTTGCGACTGCAGTCACGCGACCAAAAAATCAGTCAGGAAGCGACTGGCCAAAGCAGTCACTTTGCGACCGTTTGCGACTGTTCGCGACTGCTTGCGACCAGTCGCAAATGGTCGCGACCGCGGCTAGTCGCCGGTGTGGACCAGCCTTAAGACCTGACAACCCTTATTTTGTCATCCGGGTGATTCGGGTAGACAATTTCAGGTGCCAAGTCAGTGACAAAGCAGATTAAATATGTCAGTATGAGTTACTGTTCTTCTGTACAAGTGCTTTCTCGTTCATGCCTGTCACGTGCATCCTCATCAACCGCTCGCCGTAGAGCGCGAGTATTCGGCGACTAAGTATGACTAACAGTTGCGGCTAGTCACGTACGCGCGACCCGAGTGATCGATCTCTTTTTCTTTCGATTGGAGGCTACAGAGTAGAGTACAGGTAATCTCCTTTATTCGGGGTTTCGATGTGTATCTTGTGTAAGCGTACCACAACATGGCGGTAGTTTATGTGGTCTGCTTGTGTCGGGTATTCTTTATAAAAGTGCCTCCCTGTCACCAACGCTAATTTTACGTGTGTGCATGTCAAAATGGCGCAGTCAAAATGGCGCAATGTGTGGTTGGCAATGTAATATAAATGATGCAAATGGTGGGACGTAGCACACGTCCCACCACTTTGCATAACCACGTCTTTACAGTGCACGCAAAACAAAGCCAACTACTGCAGTCTGCCATGGATTCCGCCAGGCCAAAACTATGAGGAGCATGGCCCATTGTAGCTAATGACAGTTCTTTGTGCGGGAGGATATTACGCTAGACAAGGTTTGCGCAACTTGCTAGCTGCGTTAAATAAAATGTGCAGTGATGTTTAAAAGGTTCATGACATCAATACCAGTAAATAAAAGTGTCATCAGCATTTATGTAAGTTACTTCGCAGCAAAGAAGGTGGTGGTGGTGATTATGTTGCTACTGGTGGCGTTACCTTGGCAGACAAGATAAGAAGGTCTGAGTTACTTTTTCGCTTTTTCTTGCTTTGTGCGCCCTACAATATCTTTCAGTTCATCTTGAAAATTCACTCGGGGTGAGTCAGAAGAAAATTATGAATTTTAAAGTCATTATGTTTCTCAATTCTTGTTTTCCTTGTCTGTTAGCTTCATGTAGATTTATTAATATAAACGCCCCCTATTACTCAAATTTGTGTTATCCTAATGAAATCAATGTATATTATGTCATGCTGCGCTAGAGTCCCACGTTTGACAGTATGTATCAGTGGCAAGAGCACTGCTGTTCTAGACATGTGCCGCTAGATTTCCAGGCCACCAATCTCACAGCCATACACCAAAGAATATTTTTATAACTGAACAGCGCTGACACTCAATATGTACTATACTGCGTGGAGCCCGAAACCAGATGTAATATTTAACCACCAGAGGTCGAAATTCAGTTGGTCTGGGTAAGTTTCGTGAGTGTGCAACGACCATGGAGCCATGAAAATTTTTTGAAACGGTGCTGTAATAGCGCAGTTAAACGCATTCGATTATCTAAGCACGGCGATCACTACTTTCGTTCTTCCTTTCGCTATTCTCCGTTCGTACCTCTCCTGAAGCTGCTCTGCCCTCTTGCCGAGCACCTTTCCCGATCCTGAGTGGCATACGTCATTGATGGCATGCTGCTACAAACACTGTCTTGTTCCGGTTGCCGCGATCCATTCTCTGTCAACTGTGTGCTTGTTGGCGAATCGCTGTTGCTGTGTCAGCCGGTGCTTATACAAATAGTGTCGGTATGAACCCTGTCCTACGGACCACAGTACCTGATTTGCAAGCACGCGCATGCATGCGGGCATCACGACAAACGACAAGTGGCGTGGACAGCTTCTTGCAGACTAACCAGATGTTATAGGTGCTTGCTTGAGCAATCGCAACATATTTATTCTGCACGTAAGCTTCAACTTCTCGATTTCATGTGCCAGCTAGAAAGGCATGGAGGGATCGTGGTCAGGAATCTGTGGAACACTGGCAGCTTGAGGCGCTGCCACGTGGAGAATCGTCGATCATGCAGCATTTTGCATATCATGCACGTGTTTACTTCAAATGCTCAAAAAGAAATTATATTAAGTAGTTTAGAGGCCCTTTAAGTAGACCAGAACGGTCACTGGATATTAAAATAGAGGTCGCTTTACTTATTTGCCATGCATGAGGAACAATATAGGGCTGCCTAGAAGAGGCTATAGCGAGACAGCTGGGCTAAGAAAGCTCTTTACATCATTGGAAAGCGTAATTTACTAGAAACAGCCTGTGTCAATGTGGAGGATTAATTTGTAAGCGTTCTATTTAGAATGGGGAAGGGACAGAATGAAAGAACAATGACGGAGGAAACAGCCTGTAGGCAAGCTAAAAGAATTTAGAAATGCTTTGAACCCATGAAGAAATATAAAATATTACAGCTCAATATCAACATTGGCATGCATTATTTTCCAAAGCTTGAGATTGTAGAGTAGGATGTTCTCAGCCATTTATTTGTGCCGTAAGTAGACATTAGGTGCCTTGTGTCGCAACTTGGAGGAGTCGTTTTGTTGTGATTTTTGCTGCAAAATTATGGAAAGCCAGGTGCACAAAAGCTAACTTGACTCTTTGGGCTCAAGTGCTTCATTTCAATCAAATCAATGTTCGGATGTCGTTTTGTCTCAATTTTATTGGCACAATGCTGCCTCCACACGTTCTATGCACGTTACATGGCTATTCTCATGTCTTGACCACGAGAATAGCCTCAACCAATCTAGTGTAACTTCTTTTAATTCTTCTATTTGATGTCTGCCACGTTCGAAATCGATTGATTGATTTGTGGGGTTTAACGTCCCAAAACCACCATATCCGTTCGAAATCGAACAATTACAAAATATCCCCTTTGATTTATTGTACGTCTAACATGAAATGAAACTTTTTACTCTTTCTTTATATTTAAAATAACCAATGCTTTGCTGCTGTGGTTATCAACGTATGCTTTATATCATTAACGCAAAAATAAAAAAATTAAACTTTCAGTCTTCTGTGCGTGAAAAAGAAAAATGAAAGCGTACCCATAAAGTAGGTGCTGATTAGCTGGTATTTCATTGAATACCTTTTTGGGGTTGCATGCGCTCGTAAACAGCACAGTAGGCGTAAAATATTTGCGCTCACGTCATCACTTTTGTGGCTTATTTGCACCTTACAATTTCACACCGTTTGCAGCAGGGCAGTTGTGTAGCGTCTAGTGAGCATTTGCGAAACCACCTTTGTGCGTAAACAGCAGGAGCGCTCTCAGAGTCAAGTGTAGCAGATTTCCAGAACAGCACTTTTTTCAGTTTGAAACTGTGTTGACACACTTGAGACATCTATTAACATTTCATGGCACACAAAGATGGATACAATATTTTTTTTCATGATGGAGTGTCAGCATTTGGGATAACAATGGGGTCTTGCTTGGGTCTTCCTGTGATATAAAAATATAATCATAACAGGGGGAGGGTTATGGTATTTAGGCCGTTCTTCTGAAATTGGCCGCCGCTCTGAAAGACCACATGGAATGCTTGAAAAGTACGCATAAGCAATAAGTCTGCAAACCACACCACCAAACGTTACCTTATTAAACTCCACAATAAGAAAGTAACTATAAGCAACTTGTTAGAGCACAACCGGTCTATTCACTGAGAATCGACGACATGCAGGAGCGACGTGGCTAACAGTTATTTTTTTCGCAATGTAATCGACAAAGTAATCCTGTCAACAGCAGCAGAGGCAAGCATGACTAGCCGCGATGCTGCTTTGAAGTTCATGCACAATGCCGGTTTGGCTGTATTTGAAACTGCGTGGTGCAGAAACTGTTTCATTCGGGCATGGCTTAAAAGAGCATGCTGTGATGACTGTCTATGCTGTCCCACAACATCTGTTTGAAAGGCAAACATAAACACGAATCAGCAGCAAAATGAGCAACAGATATGGCCGTTCACGTCAGCCACGAGGAAATCGAGTACCGCGGAAGTTAATTTTCTTCAATTATTTTTTAGCTTCCCAATTTCCTCTGTGTGAGCAACATGGCACGCGAAAATATGTTGGCACCGCCACTCCTATCAGCCACC